CAAGGTCCTTGGAAGAAATGCTAAAGGGAATCATGGCCCAGGCCACTGAATATCTATGTGGGGAAAGAGATTGGGGCTGTAGAGCAGTCAGCTCTGCGGAAGTCAGAGCTCACCAGACAAAGAAGAAATCTGTGGTAATGGAAACTGTACCAGCAAATGCTGCTGCTGAAGATCACTCAATAATTTTAAAAGCATACTAATAGCATGCACAGCATGCATATTTTGTGCCAGGCTGTGTGCCAGTGTATTGTAAATGCCATGGCAGAAAGGCATCTTGAAATACAAATGTCTGTACTTCTCTTTCTTGTTCAGCTCCCATAGAACCTGAAGGAGAATAAGGACAGTTGAAATCCAGAGAGAAATAGTCAGTGTTGGGTGCTAATTTCCAAAATAAGTTCTTGATCCCAGATCAGAAACAATACTTTTGAAAGCCCAAGTTTTTGATATGCAAGAGGAAGGTTTTTAGGAGAAGAAAAGGCTATTAAGAACCGAAAAGAGAAGGCCTTAGAGGAAGGAGGACAGAGCTTCTGTGCCAGGACTAGAAGCTGAAAAGAAGATGGAGGAAGCCCAGACTCCCACGCTCCCCATGTGGACTTCACCCAGGCTCCAAGGCTGGGACATTCCCCAGGAGCAGCTGAAGGGGACCTGGGAAGAGGACCAGCTGTGCATGCCAAGCCAAGGCCTACAGACCATCAGGATTCAGCAGTCCGGTGAGAGTGGAAGCTGGAGACAGCCATCCACTGGGGGCTGCCAGAAGTAGGACTGGGATGGTGGAGAGGAGGGAGTTGCTTTAACAGCCCCTTTGCAGGGGGTGCTACAGTGACATAGTTAAGGGAGTGGTGCACTCTTTCACTATTGTGTGGCTTTGAGCAAATTAAACAGTGGGTTTTAGAAGCAGAGCTTCTTTGAAGCAGGAACCTTACAGGGGGTTTGTTCTCAGGTAAAATATACACTGAAGAAAGCAGGATAGGATGGGATGGGATAGCATGGGTTGGGATGGGATGGGATAAAATAGAATAGAAGGGTAGATACGTGGCTGCAACTAACGTTATCCTTGAGAGACTTCATCATCCACCTGAGAGAGTTCCAGAAGTATATGATAAGGGAAATGGCAATGAGGCAGAACTTAATAGGGGGAAAATCGCTTAGAATGTATCAGAATTAAAGACATGAGTCTTCTTAGAATGTTAAATGTTTGTGGTAAAAATTAAAAGATAAATACTAAAAATAGACAATCCATACCTCAACTCTGAAATTAGCAGGGTGAGAAAAGTGAGAAAAAAAAGTGTTAATCACAAAAGTAGGAAAAGAAACAGAAGCAAGGGGGAAAATATGAATAATAATACAAAATAAGACAGCAGACATAAATCTTAATGCATCAATAATCATAATGAATATGAATAAATTAAACACACCCATTGAAGACACACTATTTAGTTGTCTTGGAAAAACAAAAACAAGAGCCAAATATATGTTTCTATGTCCCTTACATGAAACGCTAAAAACAAATACAAATTCAAAAATAATAAGATGGCAAAAGATATACTGGAAAAATACACACCAAAAGGAAACTAATGAAAAAAATATTTGTACTGATGCTGGAAAAATAGAGTAAGATGAGAACTCTAACACAGATTAAAAAAAAGACATATTATAAAATGATCAAAAAAACAATTGGTTCCATAATCAAGAAATTGAACTCACTTAAAAACAGAATCTTAAAGTGTATGCAAAGGATTATAAAAAGGAGTTAATAAATCTAGAACTAACATGGAAGATTTTAAGATATCATGCTCTAAGTGTGGTAAATAAATAAGACAAAAAATTAGTAAGATTACAATCAATCTGGAATACATAATTAAACTCTACTCCTGAAAAAGAGAACATTCAGTTATTTAGGAAACATATATAAAAACTGACCAATTATTAAGCAACAAATGAATACCCATGAATTCCAAGACATTAATGTTCATGCGTAAGTTTTTTTTTTACTGAAAACAATTGAATTAGGTATCAACAATTAAAAGAGAAAAAAAATACTGTGTAAACTAAAAATGAATTTTTAGAAAGACATGAATTAAAGAGAAAATCACAATCAAAATTACAAAGTATTTTAAACTAACTGCAGTCCAAGTGCTACAAAGCAAATCTTGAACCATGTTCTAAAGCTAATTGGAGGCTAGGTGTGGCGGCTCACCCCTGTAATCCCAACAGTTTGGGAGGCTGAGGCAGGCAGATCACTTGAGGTCAGGAGTTCAAGGTCAGCCTGGACAACATAATGAAACCTCCATCTTTACTTAAAAAAAAAAAAAAATTAGCCGAGTATGGTGGCAGGTGCCTGTAATCCCAGCTAGTCAGGAGGCTGAGGCAGGTGAACTGATTAAATCCAGAAGGCGGAGGCTGCGGTGAGCCGAGGTCTCGCCACTGCACTCCAGCCTGGGTGATAAGAGTAAGACTCTGTCTAAACAAACAAACAAAAAAGCAACATTGAGAGGGAAAATTCTATCCTATCATACATGTATGTGAAAAAAAAACAGGAAATATGAAAATAAATCAGTTATGTGTTCAGCTCAGGAAGCTAGAAAAAGAACAGGATGGGATAAGCCCAAAGAAAGCAAAAGGAACAAAATAATAAAGATAAAAGTTTATGAAATTGGAAAAAAAAAACAGATGTAATTTAACAAACTAAAAGGAGGTTCTCTGGAATGACTAATGGGATAATTATCTACAATCAATTATTAAAAATAAAAAATAAGGCCGGGCGCGGTGGCTCAAGCCTGTGATCCCAGCACTTTGGGAGGCCGAGGCGGGTGGATCACGAGGTCAAGAGATCGAGACCATCCTGGTCAACATGGTGAAACCCCGTCTCTACTAAAAATACAAAAAAATTAGCTGGGCATGGTGGTGCGTGCCTGTAATCCCAGCTACTCAGGAGGCTGAGGCAGGAGAATTGCCTGAACCCAGGAGGCGGAGGTTGCGGTGAGCCGAGATCACGCCATTGCACTCCAGCCTGGGTAACATGAGTGAAACTCCGTCTCAAAAAAAATAAAATAAAAAATAAAAAATAGTTACAAAAGTAGAAGGAAGAAAAGATAAAATCCTTGAAGCAAAATCTTTACTCTCCCTGCAAAAAACATCAGGACTAGATGGTTTGAAACCTCTGTTATGACAAATATTTAATAAAAAGATAGCTCTTCACATTCTTAGTATTATACACGCTGTGTCTAATAATAATAAAAGAGTAAAAGTTGTCCACTCATTTTCAGATGCTACTATGGCTTGAATGCTAAAGTTTAACAAAGAGAATATTAGGTAAGAAAATTAGACTAACTTATTTAAAATGGCAGACTGATCATAAACATTTAACTTCTGTTTCTCCTGAAATTTCACTAAAATGTGAGAAAAGAAATGTTTAAAAGCTATTAACTCACAACGGTAAAGTGAGCAGGAAAAGACACAGTGGACAAAAGGCTAAGTGATGTAGCCATTGCGGTATTAATTTGGCAAGAAACCAGTTGTGCTGCAAATTCCCTGAGAGGGACTGGGGCTGAGACCCCTGCTGAAAATAGAGCACCTAGCAAATAAACAGTGGCTGAGAACCTTGGGATCCGTCCATCAAAGCACAGCCAGGAGACCACCTTCACCCCCATCCCATCCCGTCCCATCCCCTAAAGAAAACCAGTTTATTTCCTGGCAAATGGAATCTGATAGGATCTGGACTGTCTTAGTCAGCTCAGACTGCTATAACAAAATACCATAGACTGGGTGGCTTAAACAACAGACATTTATTTTTCACAGTCCTGGAGGCTGGCAAGTCCAAGATCAAGGTACTGATTGCTTCCTCTCGAGGACCCACTTCATGGCTGGTGGACAACCACCTTCTCACTGTGTCCTCATGTGGCAGAGAGAGGACACTTGTCCCACCCTCAGGACCTCCCTAAGCATAATCACTTCTCAAAGTCCCCTCCTCCAAATACCAACATATTGGGGTGAGAGTTTCAACATATGAATTTTGGAAGGGTGCAAATACTCAGCCCATAAAATGGACTTCCTAAAAAGAGAATAAGAGAACATATACAAGTCAACTTCCCCAGATTTTATTAATAACTAAACTCAGAAGTCCCGAAGTCCAAATGGTTTAGGGAAATGGTCCTTTCCTATCCGAAATAGAAATGAAAACTCCTTACGCTTTTCTTACATTGTCTTTCTTTTTCACTTCCCCCCATATCCGCCTTCCTCATGTTCTTCCTGTACTTACTCGCACACCTTCTCTCTCTCCACCCTAGATCCTAGTGGCCAAGTTCTTTAGTTACGTTCTTTTTCTTTCCTTTATTTGAGTAAAATTTGTTGCATTGAAATTTGTTTTTATGGCACTTCAAATTACATGGAAGAAAATGACCAGGTAGACAAATAGTTATGGTATGTCTCATTACACTGGTGTGCTACTGCAGGACAGAGAATACACCTGACACACAGTAGGAGTATAATAAAGATCTTAAGAAAGAAATGCTTGGATGAAATAATTAGAGGGTGAGAGGCTGTTACACCTATAAATGCACAAAACTTAGTATTGCAGAATTTGCTGTTTGAAGGGCTGTTGGGTTTTTATGTTTATGTGTTCTTACTGGCATATGTCAGTGAAACTAAGAAAAAATACAGGTCATCAGAGAATCTCTGGAGATTGAGAATTTTAGGGAGAATGAGAAAGCTAATAGAATCTTGTGAGATGCCTCACCTGGTGCAAGAAACAAGCAAAGAACAAGCCTTCAATGACTATCCTTTCTCAGGAGCCAGCAGACACTCCTAGATGCCTTTCTTCCTTTGCCAAAAGAACTCTGATTATATTGGGGTATCAGGTGTCAGTGTTCTCAGGGTTTGAGCCTTAACTGGCATTCACGGTAACTCTAGTGCCCTCTGCCAGGAGGTGGGTGTCATGTGGCCCACGCCTGGCCAATGGACATACTGGGAAGTCTCCTGATAGACTTCTGAGACAGAGGCCTTCGTGCCTGCTTTCCTGCTTTTGGATATTATTGGGTAGGGAAACGCTGCTGAACGCCTGGGCAGCCCAACTCATGACCATGAGGAGACAGCCAACACAATCAGAGTGAAGCAAACCCAGCAGCCTCACATTGCTGAGCTGTCGGAGTAAGTGATTTCAGAATATTTCTAGGTAGGTGAGTTGGTAATAACCTCTGCAAATCATTCTATTCAGCTATTCTGTTTGCTTGAGGTCATTGCTGTTTTTATTATAGTTGTTGTTGTTGTTGTGTGTGTTTTATAGCAGAAAAATATCCTGATATGTGGGACAAAAATGACTCTGATCTAACCCCACCAGACACCCTGCAGCCCCTGCAGCACACAGGTGCAGGAATTTTGGAAGGCGTCAAGATCTAGTGGGGCTAGATTACACCTGTAATCCCAGCACGTTGGGAGGCCAAGGCGGAAAGATCAGATGAGATCAGGAGTTCAAGACTAGCCTGGCCAACATCAAGAAACCCTGTCTCTACTAAAAATACAAAAAACTAGCCTGGCGTGGTGGCGCACACCTGTAATTCCAGCCACTCAAGAGGCTGGGGCACGAGAATTGCTTCAACCCGGGAGGAGGAGGTTACAATGAATTGAGGCCACTGCACTCCAGCCTGGGCAACAGAGTGAGACTCCTTATTTTTTTAAAAAAGCCATCAAGATGTTTATGATTTCTTGAAAAATCAAAGGGTGCAAGAATATAGACATTGACCCACAGTGTTTCTCAACCTTTCCCCCTAAGAAACATCACAGTTCTCCCGTTTAGTTAACATAGGCACCTAAACTTGTCACTGGCAAGGGGGAGGCACTTTCTTGTTATAGTAATAGACACGGAAGTGCCAGTAACTCCGCTTTGAGCTCTTGTCACAGCCAGCAGAGAGCTCCGCTTCCCTCATTTTGTATCTACAGTAAGCACTCAGAAGGTGTACACGAGACCAGCCATGCTGGATCTGCTGTTCTCAAGGTGCCAGGAGAGAGATGCCTTTGCCATGGGTCACCATGGCGATGGCACGTGGCCCATCTGGCATGTATGCCTTGGATAATTACAGGCCCAGGGACCTGAAGAACACTCCTTAGTCTAGTTCCACAGCTCTCGCCAAAGACCACATCCTGTGGTATTAACTATTAAAAAAAAAAAATAGATGCAGATCTTCTGGTTTGCCTTGCAAGGCACTGCTATATCTCGGGAGAAACACTGGGTTCTATCTTCTGCCAGTCTGCAGGAAATGCAGAGAAAATGAAACCCCTCCCAGGTATTAAGATAAATAAAATGTATGTAGCATGAATAACTTAAAAAGTAAAGTTAGAAAGTATCTTCAAAATTCTTCGGAATAGATAAAACAACAAAAAGGTATTTAGGCTGATAAATAAGGACAATTTCTGATGTGTGAGTTTCTTTAAATTAATTCTGTTAAATGTTGCACTGTCATTATTTTTAAACACTGTCATTATTTATAGTCCCATAAAGTAACTCTTAAACATGCTGAACCAGTGAGAGAGTCTGCCCCAGGAATTCTGAATTCACTTAAAGACTAGTTAGAAAACTAAGACTGGTCAGGTGCAGTGGCTCATGCCTGTAATCCCACGACTTTGGGAGGCCGGAGCAGAAGGATGGCTTGAGCCCAGGAATTTGAGACCAGCCTGGGCAACATGGTGATACCCATCTCTACAAAATTTTAAAAATTAGCTGGGTGTGGTGGCTTGTGTCTGTGGCCCCAGCTTACTTTGGAGGCTCAGGTGAGAGGATTGCTTATGCCTAGGAGGTTGAGGCCACAGTGACCCGTGTTTGTACCTCTGCACTTCAGCCTGGCTGACAGAGTGAGACCCTGAGAAGGAAGGAAGGAGGGAAGAAAGGAAAAAAGGAAGGAAGAAGGGATAGAAGGAAGGCAAGCGAAGAAAGGAGGGAGGGAAGGAAGGAGGGAAGGAAGGAATGAGGAAAAGAAGGAGGGAGGAAAGGAAAGAGAGAGGGAGGAAGGGAAGGTATGAGGGAGGGAGGGAGGGAAGGAAGGAGGGAGAGAGGGAGGGGACTCTGCCTTATGATGCCAGGATCAGCCCAGACTTCAATTCACTTTTCAATTCACTTAAATCTCTATCTTTAAAGAATACTTTGTCAAAACCACTCCTCTTTGCAGGGCACCTATAATCAGGCATTGCCTCATGCTCTAGTCTATGGCTTGCTGAATAGTAAGACTAGTATCACTACTACACGAACTAATGTACTGAGTATGTTAGTAAGGCCTATTATAACTATTAAATTCATATAAAATCTATTCTGTGACTTATGAAATCTTTCCTTGTTTACTTCTTGTCTGACTTCCCCCACTAAGTTTCATGAGCATGGGACTCTGGTTTGTCATTCCTGAATCTAGAACCCTGGCTTTGCATGCGGTGAATGCTTGGTGGACAGCTGAGAATGGATAGATGGATGAGGAGTAATCTGGTTTAGATATTTGTCCCTGCCCAGATCTCATGTTGAAATGCAATCCCCCATGCTGGAAGTGGGGCCTGGTGAGAGGTATTTGGATCATGGGGGCGGATCTCTCATGGTCTGGTGCTGTCTTAACAATAGTGAGTTCTCATGAGATCTGATCATTTAAAATGTGCGGTAACTCCCCTCCCCCTCATTCTCTCTGTGTCTGTCTCACTCTCTCTCGCTTGTTCCTGCTATCGCCATGTGACATGCCTGCTCCACCTTTGCCTTCTGACATGATTGTCAGCTTTCTGACACCTCCCTAGAAGCCAACCAGATGCCAGCACCATGCTTCCTGTGAAGCCTGCAGGACTGTGGGCCAATTAAACATCTTTTATGAATTATCCAGTCGCAGGGTTTTTTTTTAATAGCAATGCAAGAATGGCCTAACGCAAATAGTACGTTCTAGCCATGCTGCACACCTTAGAGTTACCTGAACGCACAGATTCTGAATATATAAATAGCATCACCAACTACTCAGTTTCTCAAGCCAAAAACCAGGAGTCAGCCTTTATTTCACCCTGTTCCCTCTCTATCAGAAATACAGAGATCGCTGTCTCTACAATCAAAATGTGTTCCAAATTCATACTTTTGTTTCCATTTTCACTTCATTTCACTCTGGTGCAAGCCAACATTACCTTTCATTGAAATACACATTTTTGCCCTTCTTGTTTCCACTCTTGTCCCTGACCCTTCATTTACTACATTGTAGTTAAACCTTTAAACATGTACATCAGATATACCACTTGTTTTGTTAATTATATAATAAAGAAAATGAACATTGTCACACCTTGCTCATCAAAATTCTGTCAACAAGAGGTGTTTGTTTAGTGCAGATTCTTCCTAACTTGTCCTATTCCTGCATAGGTATATACTTATACACACACATAGTATATATATATATATATATATATATATATGCTCTTTTAAATATATAATACTCTTCATATCTTCATACATGTTATGGCCATCTTTCCAGATAAATATAACAGCTATTCAATATTTTGACAGTTGAATGAGTAAAATAATAAATGGCTTCTTACATTACTTCTGTTTAAATGAAGTACAACATGTGTAAGGAGCAGTGGGAATTCCAATAGATTTGTGAACATTCGCGGACTTGATTCTGCTAGTGAGATTATTTGTAGAAACTGTCAAATGATAGGTAGGTGTTCATTATATATGTCATTCCTCACACTGCAGAAATTATCATATACTCTAGAGATGCTCTAGCCAGTGAGATTTGCTACTAAATTGAATTCTATAATTTCTTTACTCCCTTCCAAGTGTCTACAATGATCTTCCTGATAAATATTTTCTTAGGGGATACAGGCATTTTGAGTCAGCATTTTCTCATGATAAATTTCCTAGTCACTTTGTACATACACAGAGCCAAACTACAGTCCTGAAACACTGCAACAGCAGATGCATACAATGCTGTACATACTACACACAAAGTCACTTTGCCTTAATACACAATGTAATGCCTACGGATTTATTTAACAAAAATTAAATTTCTTTAGCTGGATCCAAGCTATTTTGAGTCAAAAACAAAGGGAAAGGCACTATATATGTTATTGATTTAGATAATAAATGTCTCCTTTCGGTGGGTAATGCTAATTGTCAGAGATTACTGACTGCAGGAAAATGCGAGATCGTCTGTGTTTCATCAAAAAATACATCATCTCAAACCTTCACTAATTGCATGAGGGGTCACAGATAATTTTCTATCATGCAGAAATCACTACAAAAATAGACAGCATGCTTATATCATGTTCAGCAACAATAACAAAACAATATATTGTGAAGTTCCTATGTGGCAGGCGCTGTACTAGTGCTTTACATAATGTATATCATTCAATCTTTACAGCAAACAAATAAATGATAATTGTTGTCATTTTTGTTTCACAGATTAGGAAACTGACTTAGAGCTAGAGCCTAACTAGGAACAGTCACATTCTTGAGCACTTCTCTGTAACATGCCACTTAAAACACAGAGTTCTAAGCCCTAAAGATAATACTACCATTTATTGATGAAGAAAAGCAACCCATTAGATGTTTATATTTGTTGGATGTCAGAGTGTGGTTGACAGGTTCACAAATTGCCTTCTTTATTCTAATTCACAGACCGCAAAAGTGGTAGCATTTGTTTATAAGAATACAGGCATTTTGAGTCAGCATTTTGCAGCAATGGTCAAAGCTCAGATTGAGCTGAATATTTGAAAGCATGATGAAAACAACAAAATTATTCCTTAGATAAGCTTGGAATGAGATGACAAACAAGTTTAGTGTAATTTGACTGCTTAGAGAATCTGTAATTTTAACATGTTACCAAGGTGGTGGACATCTCCCCTGGAGCCCATCAGCTCAGAGACAGAGACATAAAACAGTAAACAATAAACTGGTTCAGACAATTTCAACTGAATTCGGAAAAATGAAAGACAAAAAAAGAAAGCAAACCCAAGCACAAAGTCCGTGTGCTAATCAAGAAAGATAATGCTACGCACCAAAAGTTTGTGTCCTCCTCAAAATTCATATGTTGAAATTCTAATCCCCAGGGTGATGACTTGAGAAATAGTGCCTTTAAAGGGTAATCAGGTCAGGAGGGCAGAGCTCTCATGAATGGGATTCACACCCTTATAAAACAGGC